GTTTGTTGTAAAGCTTCCTCTTAGGATGTTTGTCAAAGAAATTCTGTCTTAATTTTGTTTCTTTATGTGTTGGCCAAACTCATGATCCTTCAATAACAATGGCAACAATTTATTTTAGATCATGCATCGAATGTTTACTTTTAGAATGTTAACTGTGTCAGAGAGGCCAAGGGTACCTTAGCTGAGAATGGTTATCAATATTGGAGAAACTCAGTGTGTGTGTGAATGGTTTTTTGAGAGCATACTAGTGTTATCTTTTTATAAGAAGGTAATCATGTCACATTCCTAGCACCTTAGAGCTTATATTTATTTTGGAGTTGAAGCTAAATTGTATCTCTTATTGCTAAAAATAAAGCCATATGGTATTTTTATCTCAATATTTGGATTTATAAAAGTATATGTTATTATTTTTAAGATTATGTTTTTTTGTTTTTTTTTTAGACAGGTGCTCTAGTTCACAGCTATAGGGGAACAGGTGGAATTTTTGAAGTTTGCTGGAATGCAGCAGGAGACAAGGTTGGAGCCAGTGCATCAGATGGTTCAGTAAGTAAAATACAATGTTTCCAAAGGGATGTCTCTGTGTGTGTGTGTGGGTGTGCGTGTGTGCGCACAGTGAATACATATGACTTAATGTTCTTTTCAAAATAAATTTTATGATATGGTATTGATCTTTTTTACAGAAAGCTGTATACTTTTCATATTTATTTTATTCAAATAATATAAACAAAATTCAGGCTATCTTTGCCAAGAGAGTATTTTCATAACCAAGAAATGGACAGTTACTTCTAAAACAAACCTTTACTAGTGAAATTAAGTAGCAGCATTCCATTCTGAGAGAGATTGGAATTTTCGATGCCTATTTCTACCTTCTCTTTCCTGCAGAAGAGTGCTGGTGGCCTGGAGAAAGGGGGATAGAGGCAGTTGAGTCCTGCATTGAGGAATGTGTGATAGACTTTCAGGATGAGGCTGGCCAGCTCTTTACAGAAATACTAGTTGTGGCTTCCAAAGCTCTGAAAGCAAAGGGAAGATGGAAAGGGTACAGCCATTAGCTGTTTACTGAAGGTATAGCTCAATATAATCTGCAGTATATTTTGTTAAGACCCAAGAGATAGGAAATGGTCTGTTTTGAGCATATGTTTTCTAGTTTTTAATTAACAGACAGTAAATTTTCAAAATTTTAGTCACAGTTCTTCCTTTGTAGTGTTAGCCCATGGCTGTTTCCTCCTGCTACATAGACTATTTATCTGGTTTATTTTGGTTAAGTGCCCATTGCCATGATTACTGTTGCTTTACCAGTTTTGTGAACTTAGAACTAAGAAATAGATTCCAAATCGTAGTATAGAAAGGTTAAGCTAAAAATGTACAATGAAATTCTTAACACACCGGTTGATTATTTTAATTTCTTACAGGTTTGTGTATTAGACCTTCGGAAATAGCGCTACTAGTTGGAAGCCATGGACCGACTATGAATGTGTACATAGCCAAAATGACTGTCCCTGACCCATGTACTGCTATAGTCCCACGTGAACCATGGCCAGTCCACTACAGCCAAATCTAAAAGAAATATATACATACAGTGTATATAAACAAAATTGCACCCTGAAGATGACAGAATTTTGTCACAGCTTGTGAATTCTGTTCACCAAGTGCTGGAATCTAATCTGCTGTGCCCCTAAAATAGCATTTAGAAGTTTTGGATATGAAAAACAGAAGAGAGAAAGAAATATGCGTTATAAAAGCAGCCCATACATTTACCAGTTTTTGGATACTAATGACAGCCTTGTTTCTCCCCCTTTGAATCAGCAGACACCATGGATTATATTCTTTTTTTCCCTTCAGTAGTTGAGCAATTTGTATGTACAGAGAAATGGACTTACAAAAACCTGCAGCAGTAGTTTGTTCTTGCTTTTAAACTTTGTTTTTGGTTTAGTTTATGGATGCATGAAGTAAGGGAGTGAATCAGTTTCTTGTTTATATTTTTTCATCTTTTAAACAAAAAATTCTTAAAAATATTTTAATTCATTCTTTTGAAAACATAAATGTTTGGTACATTTTATGGCTCCCAGAGCATATATTCAATTGGTGCATGTTGTGGAAGGGGAAATCGGAAATTAAATGAAAATATATGACTTTGGTCACGTCAATCTGTAAGACACATCAGTAAAAGGGTATTATGCTCTGTTTTTTTGTTTGTTTGTTTTGTTTTTGTTTTTTTGGTGATGTGGCTTAAATGCAGTAGTTTTTTGGGGGGGACATTTCTGCCAATTAAAGACTAGAAGGGCACAAAAAAACTTTTTTAATACCATAGAGAAGATACATTAAAAAAAATCTTCTGATGTTTTGTAGCCATAACTAAATTATGGTTAAAATGTGCACTATTGTGAAAAGGAGCAAAGTAGGTTTGGGTTTTTTGTTGTTGTTGTTGTTAGTTTGTTTTGCTTTGTTTTTTTTTTAAAGAGATTAAACTGTTTCTGGATAAGGATTAGCTTCTCCAAGTGTCCATCATTCTGTATAGAAGCTTAAATATGTAATGTAACCAAACTCCAGTATTAAAAATCTCATGTTATTTTCCTTTATACAAAGCAAGATAACGGCATATAACACTGCCATTACATGGCAAAATGTTAGCTACCTTAGTTTAAAAACAATCTTTAAAACAAAAGACTTGCTTCAAGGTGTTTTTAAATAGCAGTGGTTCCGGTTTTTTATTTTTATTTTTTTAAAGTATAATTGCACTAACCTCCCTGCTGCTCTGATTCTGCATTTGTGGTACTAGTGACTACATTTTTTCAAATATAGATAGATTTAAGCTGCTATTTTTTTTCCCCAGTAATCACTACTATATCATGTCTTTTACTCTGTTTATAATATCAAGTATCTTCTTAAGGATATAGATATCCAATCAAACCTCTTCTTGTGCTCATACAACTAAAAGCTAAAATTTACAGAATTTACAATGATAGCATGGGGCTGTATGTGTGATTAACAGGGTTTGTCATGATTAAGAACCAGTGTCAATTTTGAAGAGAATAGTTGTCCAATTTATATCTCAAAGATTTTAATTAAGAGATCACTTATTATCAAACTTAGCAAATTTATAACACTATTTTCGTCACTAATTATTTTGAGGCCTTTACTACTAAAATTTTAACCTGTGTTTTAAACAAACTGATTTAACCCAAGTAATGCAGCTTTGATTTTCGGCATTTGTTGTTTTGCTATTTTTATGGAACAGCATTGATTGAAGCAAGTCTTGGTTTTACTAAGGTAGGATAGCATTTGCTATTGGTAAAGAAAATAAATACACTTAATTCCATAATACATTGTTATATGTACCCCAGTTGTTGTTAGTGGGGACTATGATACTGTAATAATATTTTTAAAAATTTACATCCAGAAAGGCAGTCATTCATGATGGTTTTGTGCCAGCAGTTTTTAGGGTTTTGGATCACATTATAGATATTTAGAACTATTATCCTGTGACTTATGTAGGAAACCTAATATGCTGAGTATCTGGCACTTGAAATCCTGCTTTTATTGCTGGAGGTCCACATCCGTGGTTGACCTCTGTTGTTGTTTTAAAAAAATAAATAAAAATAAAAAAATCTGTGCAATAATTTTTAAATGTGCTCCCAGGAATAGACACAAATGTTTTGAGTATGTTAAGCTGCATTTTCCTTTAGCGATGCATTTGTCAATTGCACTGAATTTAAATCTGAAAGTCAGAGGTGATTATTGATAGTACTTTTGTATTTTGATATGGACAATTTATTCATTTGCATACAGTTATTGACTTTTTCCCAGCTGATTAAAAGATAGTCAAGAAGTTCTGCAATATAGCTGCCAAAATAGACAGCTAACATTTTTGTTATTATCACCTTTTTTTTTTTTTAATCTTTTAAGTAGCTATTTTACTTAAGCATAATAGCCACAATAGGACATATAAAAGATTATAAATACAGAGCTTTATTATCCCTATGTCTTGGGTCTTTTAAGTATAAACTTTTATCTGGAAGGTATCCATTTTGTAGGCTTGGGTTCTTTGTGAACATACAGTTTATTTTTGCTGCTGTTCTCAACATCATCATTGCCTGCTGATGTGCCACGATGCTGCTCCAATAGACAAAAATCAGATTGCCTCTTAATTTGAGCAGTAACATGATTGTAAGAGACCAAGTTTCACAGCCTGTAAAGTTCTATATTTGAGGTTCTTGCTCATTTTCCCTTCTGTTTTTTTTCTGAGAACTTATTCCTGAAGCTCAACTGATTCCAGTAGATTTTCTGTGATATTCATTATATATCATCGTTGTATAGGCTACTGTAAGAAACTTACAAGGAAAAATAGAAAGGAAAACTTGAATGAGTAGAATACTCATTGATTAAAAAAGAATAAAGAGCAGCTGTCACTCTTAAACATCATAAAGAAATCTTTCTTCTTCATGTAGGAAATCCTATAAGTTCTTAACATTTGTTCCAAGCCCCATTTTCTGTCATTGATCAGGTACCATCATTGACTTTCAAGTGACTTTTAGAGGTGGTAACTTTTAATTTCCTAATAGGTTTTAGAGTGCATTGAATTCTGTTTTAATTATTCTCTAGGTAAGTATGTTTTAGAATTAAACACCTTAACAGATACTGAAAGTGCCTCCTTTTGTGGTGTAAAAAACAAATTATGGTGCAAAAAGTAATCATTAGATTGAATTACATGAAGGGGTTTTTTTGCTTTTTGACATATAAAAATGTCAAGAGAAAGGCCAAAGATTTGTACATTTTCACTTATAAAGCACTCCTTTTTTCCTTAAACTTATTTCTGTCAAATTAGATTTAATGATAGAGTACTATTTTTAAGGAGCTGTTTATGTAGAATGATTTTGTTAAGAGTAATGTAAATTATTATTGAGTAGAGGCCTGAAGAGGAGTATGCATTTTTGCTATTTAAAGGAATCACAAAGGACCATCCTTATGTGTTTAAAAATGTTGTTTTACTAGAGAAGCAGAAAAATAAATTTCAAATACAGTGCTATTTACTCTTCCCAAAGCAGTTTTCATTTTCTTAAGCACATTGCACATTTCTATAGAACCTGTGTTTATCCTCACATGCTAAGGATGGTACTTGTATTTGGTGAATTACTGTTGACAGTTTCCACAGAAATCCTATTTCAGTGGACCAACATTGTGGCATGGCAGCAAATGCCAACATTTTGGGGAATAGCAGCAAATCTACAAGAGACCCTGGTTGGTTTGTGGGTTTTTTTGTTTGTTTGTTTGTTTGTTTGTTTCCCTTTTGAATCAGCAGGGATGGAAGGAGGGTAGGGAAGTTATGAATTACTCCTTCCAGTAGTAGCTCTGAAGTGTCACATTCAATATCAGTTGTTTGTTTTTTAACGTGATTCTAGTTATTGTAGATGAGAGAGAGAAAAGAGGAAGTGTTCGCTTTTTTAATACACTGATTTAGAAATTTGATGTCTTATATCAGTAGTTCCGAAGTATTAATAGCATTCTTTATTTCTGCCTTTACTTTGACAGTGTTGAAGCAGGGTGAATAACTAAGGCTTCCCACCCCCACCCCAAACCCCACCCCCCAGTAAGCTGTTTCATGATGTTTTCTTTGGAGTTTCTGAATAAGTTCAAGAAAACATTCTGCATGTTGTATCTAGTCTGATGTACTTATCCATCTCATTAAAAACAAACAGACTGCATTTTGTAGCTCTGTAATCCCTAAATACAGAAGTAATTTTCTTCTTTCCTGACTTTGACATTGTAGCTATACTGTTCTAATTTTGATTTTTACAAATCCTTTGGGTCTAATTCTGTGAGCCTACCTATAGCACTGGATTAAAATGTCTGTATCATTTCTTTAGTTATCCAGTTAACTTTAAAACTGTTGTAAAAGTGTAAACCAGCCCATGACAGTTTTTTGTACATGTTAAAGAACTTTATTGTTCAGTTTTCATGATTATTGTGTAAGGAAGACTGATTATAGATGTTCTATGCTGTCCTGGACCATGTTAATTACACTTATGATGTCTTTTGGTTCCACATCACAATGATTTGTCCCCAATGACCCTTTTATCCTTTCTAGGCACATTTTTTGTTGTTGTTGTTGTTGTTGCAGTTTCCCTTTGCATTGTATTGCTTTGACAACTGTAATTTGAATCAGATCTGAAAGAGGTCCAGAATAAAATATATTTTGATATTATGTTGGCTGTGTACATATATAAAACCTTTGATATCTATGTAGTTTGTATAGCCTATTTAGTAGTAAAGAGAGAGGGATGCTATTTCTTGTTTACAATTTCTTGTTTACATTTTAATTGCATTTACCCCTCCAGTGTTCTCTTGTAGAATAAACTTTTTTGCTCTGAGTTAGCCTTCATAACATATAACATGTCTTTTCTCTCCCATACTGGTGTTACCAATTATAACAACTGCCATCAGAACCCAGACCACGGTTTTCATATATTGTTTTCCAAGATATATACATTAAAGTAAGCCCATAGATAAAATTACAAATTTTACTATTTTATTATGTCTCGCAGGAGATAAGATTTTTTAAATGAAGGGATTATTTACTATTTTTATTAAAGAATAATAGAGCATTTAATCAGCTAAGGAATAATTACTTTGGAATTATTTTGAAAAATCAATATTGTATTTAAAGGACATTGTTTCACAAAATCAAACTAAAAGAGACCTCAGATTCATTTGCTTAGCATGCAGTTGAGCACTAAACAATATACTGAAGATTTTTAGGACAGGATTCTCAACTTCCTTAATGACATTTTTCTGCGTATAAACCTATTATTTAATAATTTTCTTCCTTAGCTAGTTGCTTATGTTGCAAATGAATCTTATAATCTATTAGGAAAGATACTAGGCACTTTCTAGTTTTAATTAATCCCAACTCCTTTAGTTACTTAGAGACTTTTAAATAAAAGAATCATTGATCAGATTTGTTTTGTTTTGTAAAAACTTATATTCTCCGGGTCTTTTATCTTTTACTTCCATTTCCTGAAGCAGCAACTAATACAGGCATAGCCTTGTCATGTTTTATTAAATGATAAGCTACTGTAGTTGCTAGAACTTTCTGACCATCTTTCATTTTCAGAGGGTTAACTTTTATTGCATGGAATAGATTGTTAATAATCTGCATTTTACACTTTTTCAAAAAATGTTGGTCTACTAAGGATTATGAGGTCAAGCTGAAATCAATTTGAGTAGCCATAGAAGGGGTTATTTTTAATTTCATACTTATACTTTACAATAGATCAGATTTCTTACCTATGATTATACATAGCAGATCAGATTAAAGTTTACTGTTTCCTTAGTATATTCATTTGCAAAATGCAGTGGAGGAAAAGACCATGGACAGTAGTTTAAGGTGCTTTTTCTCTGCTGTACCAAAGTGCTCTGTCAACAATGAAATGTTAACCCTATGCTACTTTTTCTGCATGTTTCTTCTCAAATGTCATCTCAATGCTATTTGTCCTAACTTGTAATATTTTTGTATTAAAATTTTTAGGAGTTCCTTGTAATTTCTTTTTAATTTAAAATATATTAAACACAAAGTGTTTAGTAAAGTACAGAAGACAATTATTAATGTTTCTTGGTTGTTGGGTTTGTATGATCAAGCGTGCAAACAATTCACATTTTAAGAACTAGGACCAGTGGGGTGGAATCTACACAGAAGATACTGCAATTATATTTTTAAAAAATTAGTATGTTATACTAATCCAGTATCAGAATGGGCTGCTTTAAGAGAAGCTGCACTACCAGAAACACCAAAAGCATAGGTTGGAAGAATACAGGGCAGGACGGCTGTGGAGGAATTCAAGCACTGAATAGATACCTCAAGTAAGTGAAACACTCGAATTAAAAATCCAGTCGCAGTGCACTTATTCTGAAATCATCAGACATTTGATGAAAACATCAGCTTTCAGAATCTCACATTAACATTAGGGAGTTTTGAAAGTTTTACACCTTGTCAGGTCCTTTTCCACATAGGCTTTTACCGACTTTAATTGCTATATACTACTTGACTAATTAGGTTAATTATCCAGTTTTCCAACTTGAGGACCAGAGGAGTAATATCCCTTAGTAAAGGAAAAGGAGGAGCTAAAACTGCACATTTGGCATGAATATCACAACGAAGACCTAGAGTCATCAGATAATTCATTCAAATTCAAATTGAGTTTAATATGATATAAAAATCTAACTATGCAACATACTTTAAAATATTTCCAGTGAAGTGGTTGAAATATTTTAGCATATGGAAATAAGTTTGAAGCTGGATAAATGTGGTATTGAAGTAGATGAACTCTTGTGACCAATCGAGATTAAATTAGAGGTAAGTAAGTTTTACTTTTTAAAGAATTTTAATTAACATGGAGTCCATTACAACCCTTTTAAAAACTAAGTTGCCTGGCCCTACCCTTAACTTACTGGCTAATGTGATAGTACTAGGTATGTTCGCTTTTTTAATGATTGTTTGTATGCCATAGATGACAGATGGGGAAAGAAGCGGTTGTGTAATTGGCATACTGAATATTTTACATGCTTGTAAAGAAATTGAAAATTCATAAATTCCCATTTCCAAACTCTCAACCAGTTTCACCTCATGATAGCCACTGTTAATGCTTTAGTATGTATCTTTCCAAACATTTTTAATACATACTTTAAAAATTACATAAATGGGATTGTAATATTGATTTCAGAAACTCATATTTCACTGATATCAGGGGCTTTTGTCCTATAAGTATAAATATTTCCCCATACCATAGAGGTCAAGAGCATTCTGCCTGGCTGTTTTGAGACCCAGCTTCACTGTTAGCTTCCTGGTTTTCTCATCTGTGAAATGGGGCTAATGTTATGAGGTAGAAGGATTAATATTGTTAACATTTAAAGCCGTTAGAGAATAGTGTCTGGTTGTAGAAAGCACAGTATATGCTACCATTATTTTGATTTTTAATAGTTGCATTATATGCCTTAATTTAGCCCCTATAATGTACATTTACTTAATCACTGTCTTGTATTTTAAATTGGTGCAATAAACAGATATTTGTGTATTTGTAGGAGAAATTCAACAATTGATTCTGATGCACACCTCTGGTTAATAGGAACTTTCAAAGACTTGCCATTCACCCATTTTCTGTCATTAAATAAATGTTATTTCAAAAGGAGTCATTTAGGAATTTGTATAAGGGAGATTTCTTGGAAAAAGTGCTTTTTATATTTACTCAAAGTGCATACGGGAACAAGAGAATAATTTAGGCCAATAAATGACAGTTGTTTGGCGGGAGTTAGAAAACTAATTTTTTACACCTATGTTACTAGTCATTAAATGTTAAAGATCTGACTAAGTTTTGATAAACATGGAAGAAAATATTTCTGCCACAGAAATATACAGATTAAATTCAATTATTTACTTCGTTGAACTACCAGCATATTTAATGGCATATACTAATATTGCTGGAAACTAAATTCCTAGTCCATGTGCTGGAACAGCAGACATTCGTTTTTTTCTAGGACGTTTTAAAAAATGCCATTTACATTTTACCTTCTCAAGTCTTGGATCGTTTTTTGTTAACTTTTTTCAGGAAATTTTTTTTATTGTTTAATATCTAGTATGTTCCCTGAAGTGTGTTCACCACTAGATATATACTATAGTAAACAAGAAAAAAAAAATAACTCGCTTTTTGTATTATAAGGGAAGATAGTTCATGAAATGCTGCAACAGGAAATTAGGTTGAAGCATCTGAAATTGCTGTTTGAGTCAAAAACTGCTAAACACTGGCAATTTCAAAAGCCGACAAGATACTGTGTGTAAATGCCAAGGGATACCTAACAGTTAAGGGTGTTGACCCCTTAGACTAGGAGAGCTCGCCTGGCTATATATGTCCCAGGACACCCAGTAGGACTCTCTCTAGGGTCTACACTGCACTTCTAATGACTTCTTTTATGTCAGTCTTAACAGCGATCACTATAATTTTAAATAGTATGTACACTTGCGCTTATTACCTTAAACAAGGTCTATTGATTTCTTACCTTGAAAGGCAGAGAGATTAAATACTTACTTCATCCTCACTTCAAGAGGTTAGTTATAATTTTCACTACTAAAGATGATAGGCATATTTTTGCTGTTACTGCTATACAACACAACCAGGAATTTGTGCCAATCCGTGTGTCTGTCTCCTCAAACCTCACCCAGGTGTCCAAATGCAGTTACAAGAAACCATGTGAATCAAAGTACCTCTTCATTAATAACTACACGAGCTTCTGTCATTCAGTTCAGCTCTAGAGAGGCTGGTTTGCAGTTTGTGTTTTAGGGCTTTGCTACTGAAAGTATAGCCAGCCTGTCAACCTCACCTGGAAAGTTGGTAGAAATTACCTCAAGTACCACACCGGGACCTAACGAATCAGAAGCTGCAATTTAACAAGATCCCTCAGGTAAATTGTATGTCCGTGAAAGTTTGAGAACTACCTCAAGGTTTCTGAGTCAAAACAGGATCTTCTCTCCCTGCTCCTGTCCTGAGTGGTCTGAGACTAGACATCATAACACAGTTGCTGGTCCCGATAGGGGTAGAGGAAAGGAGGAAGACGTCCCCAAAAGGGACTCTGACAGCTTACTGATTAAGACACAAAGTAGTAAAGTGTTTACACCAGCTCTCCATAAGTTTCTAATGCACATAAACTAGAGAATCACTGCTGCCATGCTGAAATCCAGCGCCAATGTGGTTTTTCCCTTCTTACAGGTAATTCTTTAATACCCGGATTCCCAAGTATTTCTTGTCCTTGAAATTTAATAACTTCTCAGGATATGCCTAAGTATCCATGATTTCTGAATCTGTCCTAGAACACAGCTACCGTAGTAGGTAGAGTAGCCACACATTTACATTTTTTTTTTAAATCCACATTAAAACTTTGAGTATATCTTTCCTTTTCATGATATTTTGTTGATCCTTGCTGTAGGCCCAGCTGAGGTTAGTAATCGTGACTATCCAATGGCACCGATCTTCACCATCGTCTGATTTTTCTCCAGTAGTGCTTCACACGCAGGCCAGGGAAAGGCAGGTGTCAAGTGGTGATAAGACTAGTGGGGTCAAGGAGCATTATAATTTGCTAGAGAATTAGCACTCAAAGTATTCCTAAGACGTGGGGCCCTATGATCATCAGAATATACCTGGGATAGGTGTAGGTAAC